CTTTAAAAGCATATATCGTTAATCTTTAAAGAGTAAATCTTATAAAAATGTTACTAATTAATGTTGATTTCATAATTATTAACAAATGACGTTAATAAATTTACTTTTAATGTCATTCTTTAAACTTTAGAAATGAATTTATAGAAGATAAGTAATAAATGATTGTGTCATTGAATGTTTGTAGAATAATACAATTATTTGTACTAACTATATTCTGTTTTTTTTTTTTTTTATAATAAATGTTGTCTACATTTAGATGAATACGAATAAGGAGAATAAAAGTGAGAAGAAATTTGACAAAGATAAATTGGGAACTGATCTGTATGTAGCCCGTGCAGCATGGTAAGCGTTATGATAATCATCGCAGTACCTAATTATCGCGAAGCGAATAATCGTGTAATTATTTTCTTCTTCAGTGAATGATCGGTTAACACACCGATAAGCGGAAAGAGAAAGAGAGAGAGAGGTGAAGCAAAGGGAGGTAGCAAACCCATTTCGAAGGGGCTGCCAATAGCGGATGGGTAAGCGGAAGGTGGCTTTGCTCGTGGAAGGCATAATTATAGGTCGATCATTTTGCCATAAATATAAGCCATGCAAAGGACTCCGACGTAAACCGATCTTAGTTCCGACCAATCTCGACGCGAGCTAATTATTGAAATATTCTTTTTTTTTTTTATATATTATATGTATTTTTATTTTTATTTTCATTCTTTGTCAATCGTCATTTAAATAAATTTCTCAATTGTATTAATGAATATTTTATATCGTCAAAAAAATACAACTCGAATTAATTGAAATAAATTGATAATTCTAATTGTAAGTGATATTCATTCTAATTTAAGTTAATCATCATAATATGAATAACGTGGAAAGATTGATAAAGAAAAACTAGTCGATGACATAAAAACACGCACGTATCAATTCACTCGATTCCAAGATATAGCATTGCTTACTATAGATTCGTTTGTTCAAAGGTTGAAGCGATAAACGGAAGGTAGACTTCGCCATGAATGGCATAATTGCGGGTCGATCGTTTCGCCATAAATAAGGCTGCTCGATGGCCCTCGAGGAAAGGCCAAGTTCCGTTGGATCTCCGATCGGAATCAAGGGTAACCACTAACGCGATTCCCAAGATACAAATTCGTCTACCATTTGATATTAGAACGATTCTCGATCGAATGGAAATAATTTGTAAATAGAAATAAATGTCAAAAATTGATATACGTTTATTACAAATATGAAATTTATCATTGAATATAAATATAAATATAAAACACGCATAAGAACAAAATGTTATCTAATTTTTCTGCGATACGTGAAATATAATTTAGCAAATTTGTTCATTTTCTTGATGGTATTCGATAAAGCAGATTAAAATGGTCACGTTCATGATCACGCCTATAACAAGTTCAAGTGCGTTAATATGAAGAAAATGTTCTCAATTGCGGTGGCACAGCCAGCAGGCATTTTCGCTTCGTTTGTTTATTCAAATTTGATGGTTAAACGTTTATACATCAGCACTGATCTTCAAAGCGCTTCGCGACGGCTGTACGGACTCCTAAACGGAACATCTACGTGTTGTTGAACACTATCCTTAACGGCGAGCTTTGACGAATCAATTATTTCCCCTCGATGCGTATCCGGATTGCTTATTTTTGTTCGTCCCACTTCGTATATTCGTAACGTCGCTTTTGTTCGAGTCCTTCGTTCTCTATTGCTTAACACGCGCGTGCTATTCGAGGATCGTGAATTCGAAAATATATCGACAAAGATAACTGTTAGATTTTATATTTCAATTATTTTCGTCTATCGATTCTATTATTGAAATTTTTTCTTACCTCTTTTGAAAGAGTATTATATTTCTCAAAATTTTCTCAAATCTTAGTCACTTGGACATGAATTAACTTTCAAATCATCAAACATTGTAAACCTTTCTCGGTTTTATCGAAGGTTAGAATCTTCTTTGTTGAAACTATTTCAAATATTTTCGAAAATCTAGTTGACTTCAAAATGACAAATTAACTCTTTAATCATAGAATTACTACATTGTGAACCCCTCTCAGCAAGATAAAGGATACAAAATAGACATTTAGGCGTTGAACTATGAAAAGAGAAAAGGTTTAGACTAATAAAACGACCTTGAGTTCCTTTCCATTGTCAGCAAAATTCGAAATGAAAGAAAAGGGTAACGTTTAACCTTAGTCCAGCAGGCAGTCAAAATGGATATATAAGAGAATAGGAATGGAAAGAACAGCATGCGTTTAGAAAAAGATATTCGCAGGCATGTCTGTGTGAAAATCGTCGAGGCATAACGTAATTGCTTTTAAACGCGTAGTCGCGCTTTGAAAACGGCCACAGTTTTACGCAATTCTTTCGAAACTCGTTAAAATAGTTAACTCGGAGATAGTAGAAATAAAAAAAAAAGAATAGAGAAGAGAGAGGGAGGGGGATACAAGAGTCTAATTACTTTTAAAATCATACTTTTATACATTTTTAATCATGAAAGAGAAAAAATAAAGCATACTTATATTTCATAGTATAAGTATTACGAGTTACTATTAAGCGAATTGAGTTATCAAGTACATAATTACTGTTATTTAGATAACTTCAAATTTAATGACAACCATATCCTATACTTAATTCCAATAATTACAAATTGAATTTATATCCTGAATGAAAGAATGAAAAACCTATCGATCGTTATATACTTATACTAGATCATTACTTATAAATGATCGTTCCCTTTGATTATTTCTTGTCTCCATTGCTAGTAATATAAAACGGTGAACCAATATTACAAACACCGAAAAGCTTGATCTCTTTCAAGCATTAAATCGTCTTCCAAATATGAGTTCTCATAAAATCATTAACTTCATTAAAATCGATTAAAGCGTTAATAATTATCTAACGATAATAACATTGAACAATTCTGTAAAATCAATCTCCTTTCTCTGAAATTTCTCAATAATATTCATGAAAAAATAATTAATTTGCACACAAGAGAAGAAAAAAAAAGAGAAAAATGAAAAAGGAAAAGTACAAAAAATATTAAAGAGAATATAAAAAAAAAAAAAAAAGAGAGAAGTATTTGTGTACGTATGTATTTATATTGTCGAGCGAGGCCAGAGAGCTCGCGAGAGATCAGAAACCTTTGCTTTTCGTGGCCCGTTTGGGGGCCGAATCGAAGAGAGGCCGAGGTTTTCGTCGAAGCTCTAAGCCTTGTCTTGAGATGAAGAGAGAGAAAGTAAGAAAGAAAGAAGGAAAGAGTGAGATATATATATATATATATAGAGAGAGAGAGAGAGAGAGAAAGAGAGAAGAAGGAAAGGGCCCCCCCGCGCCTTACAATGCAGTCTGATTTATGGCCCGGGCGCACATACATAGAGTTACACACGATATCATAATACCATTAATTCTTCGTCAAATTCCCCGCTGACTGAATCATACTGGCCGCGCAGTAAATCACGCGGGCGACTAATGTGAGCGCGACCAGCGCGCTGTCTTATCTTCTTTGAACCGCGGGGGCAGGTGGATCCCGTCTTGGCCCCGTTGAATTACTCTTACCCCTTCGACCCCTTCTCATTCTCATTCTTTTTCTTTCTTTCTATTTCTCTCTCTCTCTCTCTCTTTTATCCTTTTTTTCTTTCTTTCTTTTTCATACATACGGAACGACAACAATTCTTTATCCCAGACTCATCCCGTTAACTTTCCTCGATTTACACGGATTTACGCAACACTCCAAATTCTCAACACAATGTTCCATCACAACATGACAATTCTAATGCCATTTTATTACTTCATCGGGTTCTTTAAGAAGACTAATATTCTTCTAGAGCTCATAATGCTCTTTTCAAATGATAGATAAGTTTGTCGTATTATTATCGATCATTGTTCATTTTATTCGATCAATTTTCTTTTATAAAATATTGTTTATTAAAAATAATACCGACGGAATAAGTTTCTCTCGATCATTTTTTTTGTAGTTTGGAATAAATTTAGTATATCGCGTTAGATATCATTGAGAGGAAAGAAACGTTCGTTGCGTGAACGTTTCGAGTAAGATTTACCAGATTTTCATGGCGATTAGGCTAGCAGCTAAATACCGATAGATCCATCGTTCATGCAAATGATGTTGGAAATGCTGTAGGAAGAATTTTTTTTCCTTTTTTTTTTTTTCTAATATTTTTTTACATGTATATTTGCGTTACGGCACATTATCGCTAACTGTCATACTACTGACAACATCACAAATCATATGTTCTCGCTCATGGTTTTTATTTTTTTTATATTTTTCTTTTCTTTTTCCTTTTTTTTTTTGCAGTTTTTGCTTAACGCGTTTACATACTATTACCATCGAGAAGCAGTAAGATTTATTGGCTAGTGGGTGGAAAATACTCTATGACGCTTTCGAAAATAGTTTCCTTCGACGCGAAGTCGATATCGATTGAAAAACTCTAAGAAAAGTCTAATTTCCTTATTTTCTATCCTTTGATTTTTTCTCTTTCTCTTTCTTCTACTTTCCCTACAAACGCGATATTTAAATTTTCATTACTTACGAAGACTATAATTGTGATCTTCATACGTAAATTGTGTTTAATGCTTGTGTCATCAAATTTAATTGGATATTAGTAATCCGCATCATTTAAGCGCAGATACGTGGAATTCTTACTTAAAGATTTTCTATATCGATTAATATTTGGATATTTCTCTGATAAATCCTCAGGTGCCTTCACATCGAGGATAGCATCGTTTACCTTTTTGCTATACAGGTTTTGCTACTCTCAGATCCTGTTAGCAGTCCCAATAAGTGCAGGTACTATAGGCGTATCGTGTAATTGCTGATCCGTTGCTACCAGTTAAGATACCATAATCGCGCTTAAGATCGATGGATCGGGCAAGGATTCATTATATATGATAGATCAGATTGCGTTTACTTTTGACGCCTCGTTCATACGAAGCTAGAAAGTTTCGAGAATTATAAGGAAAGTAAATAAACTTACTCTGTCCGATGTGAACCCTTTTCATCCAAGGATAAATCTGGGGTGGATTGCTACCAGAAGGGTTCACCTTGTTCGACGAATTATTCCCAGTGCTAGAGGTGCTCGAGGTTGAGGATGCTGGGGAAGAAGCTGAGGATGCTGTCGTAAGTGTTGAATTTCCATCGGCAACGTTTCTCGGCGTTCCACTTGGAGGTGAAGCCGCGGATGCTGCCGCGACGGAGGACCTCGATGAGGTACCTGGTGGCGAGGTCAGACCGGACGCGGATTTGCTCGTACAAGGTGCGACCAAGGGCGTCGGACTGTTTCTCGAGGTGGAAGTTGAGAGATCCTGAGGCGATGCTACTCCAGTGGAAGAGGTCGAGTCGGCGTACTTGCAGCTCGATGTTGAAGGCGCGGAAGGCGCGTTAGCGGCTTGAAGCAAGGGGGTTGTTGGATCCTGATGAAGCTGTGCCTGCTGTTGCGTCTGGGGATGATGCTGTTGAGGATGATGCTGAGATGGTGGCTGATGCATGCTGTGTTGTGCCGAAGTGGCTGTTGCATTCAACCTCGGTTGCGGCTGAAGTTGCGTGTAGTCTATCATGCCGGATGGTGCTGTGTGTTGCATTCCGGATGCAGGAGTTGCATACGGATGTTGTGGATAATGTTGCTGCGGGGAGTAACATGGTGTCGGATAACTCGTCGCCGCAGCATTCGGATTGTAATAATCTGCACCAGCTGGCGATGCCGCTTGCATTGGTTCTCCAGGTGAATTCGGCGTAGGCCTTTGCTGCTGAGGCTGTTGGCCTGCGTAACATGACGCGAGCGAATTGACGAACTGATACGAGCTCATCGTTCGCGACTCTCTTCGTCCTTCTTCGACGTCACTAAACTGATCTCTTCGCACGTCCCGATATAAACGACATTCACGATTCGCACAAACCGTTAGATTTTTTTTAGTTTTAGCTTGTCTTTTACCTTTTACAAAAAAAAAACAAAACCCTTTTAGATGAAAATGATTTTCTTCATTGTTCACCTTTCTCTCACGTAATCACCGTTTTGTACGCTACGAAACGTCACAACGAGCCAGCCTCTGTTTACAAGGATCACGTGGGCCTTCCCCAATAAAACTGTCTTCTTCTTTACGACTTTTCTCCGTCCTTCTCTCTTTCTCTCTCTCTCTCTTTCTGTCTATCTCTTTCTTTCTCCCTGGAACCTGCCTACCTAGAGAGAGCTCGGGGTTCCAGTCGGTGGTAGCACGTGACAGCGAACTCGTTGGTTCGCTCCATTGGAAAGGACTGTTCTTCTTCGTTGTATTAACCAGAGAAAAAGATAGAGAACACTCGTTCGCGTCGCACTACGAGAGCTCTTACACGTTATCCTCTATCCGAAGAGAGGATTGTTTCTATCAAACGATTATCCTCGATGACAATTATGAATGTTGAAATAGTACACGTGATACGATAAGAGAAAAATAGATAAAACGGGAAAAGGATAGAAAAATAGAAATGGAAGAAGAGAAATAGAAATAGATAACGTCGAGGATCGCGGAGATAGTTCGTTGCATGCGCGGAGGGTGGTTGGTGTCGTACTGAAGGCCTCGCCGCAATCCAAAGGCCGGTGTGTGCGGTAGCTTGTCACGTGCCCGCGCTCTCTGCGTGTCAGAGGAGAACGCCTCGACCAATCCGCGCCGTTCGTCAAACCTTGATTGGTCTCTCCTGCCGGCGACGAAGGATTCTTCAAGTAAATTGTCGTGGTAGTATTAGTAATATTGGAAGTAGTAGTAGTGGTGTCGTGATCGTGGTCGTAGTCGTTGTCGTAGTCGTTGTCGTCGTCCGTCGGCTCGTAGCAGCCACAGCAGACGCCGTTGCTGCTGATGTTGCTAGTGGTGGTGCTGCTGGCGCTGCGCCGCTCGTGTGCCCGTCTCGAAGCCCGACATCGTCGACGTCGACGTGACGAGAGCCGAGAGGGGTGCGTGAACGTACGATAGAGTGAAAGAGTAAGAGATCGTGAGAGAGAGAGAGAGAGAGAATCGAGAAAAGAGGGAGGAGAAAGAAGGAGAGCTTTCGTCGAAGAGAGGGGATGGCCGTCGCTACGAAGGGGGCTAATGGAGAGATATTCGGGAGCCCTCGAGCAAGGACCCTGGTGGGGGCAGCCCTCTCTCCCTTCGCTGCCAGTTCCTCTCTTTCCTAGCTCGACGTCACTGACAAGTAGTCTTCCGCCTGCTCGACAAAGGGGGTAACGCGTGCGCGCGCGCCCCCTACCGCGGTTACCCCGAAAAAAGGGGGTGGCACGTTCGTTCCTTCTCGTGAGAAAGAGAGAGAGAAAGAGAGAGAAAGAATTGGTGTCTTTCTTTTGGTATTCTCTTCGGCTATTCCCAAAGTGTTCTTCTTCTTGCTGAATGATCGTAATCCTTACGATACTTTTGGAGAAAACAAGTCCACGCAACAGCAGTTACTTCGTACGGCCGATGAGGATAAAGATGAGGATGAAGACGAGAATGAGGAAGAAGAAGAAGAAGAAGAAGCAGAAGGAGAAGAAGAAGAAGGGTCGCACATAAGTCAGCCCCGGCGACCGTGTCTGACAGTTTTATGAGAGTTTGATAGTCTCTACCGTCGTTCCTCTCCTTCTCTCTTTCTCTCTCTCTTTTCTCTTCTGTTCGCGCGCACGGTAGTGAGAGAGGGTAGAGAAGTAGAAGAGAGAGAAAGAGAGAGAGAGAGAGAGAGAGAGAGAGAGAGAGAGAGAGAGAGAGAGAGAGAGAGAGAAAGAATGCACTGTTGAGAGTAGGAGCAAGGGAGACACGCGCACTACGCACTCTTTATTGTCCCATAAATTCAAACCTGTTGCCCATGGTTGAAAGAGTAAGAGAGAGAAAGAAAGAGAAAGAGAGAAAGAAAGAAAGAAAGTGAATGAGAAAGAACAACAAAGAGAGAAAGAGAGGGCAGGCCCGGAACGGAATCCTCTCCCAATCTCGATTCGATTGACGCCCCCGTTATCGCTCGTGTAACGCCGAAACCCGAACGCAAACTCGTAACTCACTGAGGCCGACTGTTCGGTGAGCCTTCGGACTCTTGCCGGCACCGCAGAAAAGCATGTGTGACGTAGTAGCCAGTTGGTCAAACGGTGGGGCACACCGCCACGGCTGGACGTAGCGTGTGGACGAGGAGGAGTAGTAGTACCAAGAAGACGAAGCCCGACGGAGGAGGGCACCGGAGGAGGCGGAGCTCTCCTTCGGCTCCTCGAGCCTTTCAACGTGATAACGCGGCTTCTCTTTTTTTTTTTTTTTCACTTTTTTTCTTTTTCTTTTATTTATTTATTATATATAGATATCGTCTAAAAGATATTTCAAATATTTCTTTTAATCTTTTTTTTCCAAATTTAATAGCTGCTGATTTTCCTATTGTTGTTGTCCTGGAGAACAGTTTATGAAACTTTGCTTGGTTTTGTGTGTGTTTGCGTGTATGTAAAAGTCTATCTCTCTGTCTCTTTCTTTTATGCGTGTGGTTTGTGAGGAATATCATGGTTTAGTGCGCCAGTTGCTCACCAGATGTGGTGAGCGTGGCCGTTCCCGTTGAGAATCGTGCATCGCGCCCGCCCCCAGCCGCCCTTTCTCTTCAATCCTATTCCCCACTATGTCTGCTTGCCCCACCGTGTGCCACGACAACCCCACTCTATATATCACTCTCTCTCTCTCTCTTTCTCTCTCTTTTTCTCCCACGTTCTTTTCAAATAGCATGTCGTGTATAGCTCTCCTTCTCTTTCCTTCTCTTTGATCAGGATTCTGTTCTCCCCTCTACCAAGTTTCCCTTGCGTGTCACTCTCTCTCTCTCTCTCTCTCTCTCTCTTTCTCTCTCTCTCTCTCTCTCTTTCTCTCTCTGTCTTTATCTATCCACAAGTCTGTGTATGCTCCCTGTTTGTCCTACACCTCTTTTCTACCCTTTTAACCCTTTTTTCTTTTACCCATGAACCACGCGCTTCGTATGAGCCTACAAGATGAGACTGACGGTAAATATGGAGAACTCTTTCTACAATTATATGTTTTTTCTTTTGTAGATGTATTTTATGAGTAATCTGTGATTATTATCATAATAGTTTACTGTTTGAGATAAATAAACTTTATAAAAAGAAAGAAATTGTCTAAAATCAATGGTCTAATTGAACAAGTGATTAAAAACAAAAAAAAATAACAAGTACACCTAATTCTGTTTTTACGCGATAAATACGTTTGCGAAGAATACATGTAAACAAATTTCGTGTAAAAAATATATTGCATCTATAGAAAAATACTTTCTGTTTAACTTAGTTGAGATGCCTAATAAAGCCAAATTTTCTTCTTAGAATTTTGCGTCGATTGTGTTAAAACAAAATGATGTAAAAAATTTCGCATCAAAATAGAATTGGGAGTACTTATTATCCAATAATTTCTAAAAATTACACTTACCTAGTTCAAAATTATCATATCTTTTAATCAACCTCATTAGTATAATTTATTCATTATTTGTAGTTCCGTCTATCACCAACCGGTAGCTATCGCGAGAAGATCTTTACGATGAAAATTTACGATAGGATAGTGGGAGTGATCGGTTCTCTGACAAAGGTACGAAAGATCAGGATGTTTAATGGGGAGAATGAAAAAAGTCGAAGAGGAAGAAGCTATTTTGGTTCGATTCAAGAGGGCGCATCGCCTCAGGGCACCGTGTCACTCTTTCGTTGGGAAGCCTCCCCTCCCCTTTCCGATTAGAATTTCTAATCAAGTCGTCGCAGGTGTAAAAAACGTATCGAGACCTTCATGAATCACGTGTTATAAAGCAGAACCGCCGAGAAACACGTGTATCTGTTGTAGTTTAGGTTGACTGTGAGCATGCTTTATGTACTACTACTTCCCCCTCCCTTTCATTCATCTCTATCTTGTTTTCTGTAAGCGTCGCCTCGCTGTCTCCATCGAATGTCCAAATGACGACTTTACTAAGCTGTCATTATCATAAAAGTAGAGTTTCAATCGTATCGAAAGGAATGATCGACGTGTCTTATTCGTTGACATGTTCGGTGTTGAACGATATTTCAAATTAATTGATTCTTATGATCGATACGTATTCTCTTATACGTATACCGTGATTATGATAATGATCTTCTTTATTTTGTATATGTTAATATTATAATATATTACAAGACATCAAGAAGATTTTATTACAAATTATACATTAATTTTTTGGTTACAAATAATAAAAAAAGATAATCGTTAGTTAAAAGTATACATTTGTTAAAATGTATAAACGTAAGTATTTCACAGATAAAGGCTGATGCACGTAACCGAAAGAGAGAAGCGTGGAAAAAATATATTCAATTCGAAGTTCACGGGGTAAGACACGGTGCAGAAAAACCAATACGTATCCGCGTGCCGGCCATGATGGATTGCCCAAGCTATGGGAAACTATCTGTCAAGCACAATATCGACCCTCGCTCTCTTCGTTCAACTCCCGACAAACTCGTGCCTCTACCACCGCCGCCGACGTTCGTCCTAGGGCTGCTTTCTCTTTCTTTTTTTTTTTTTTCTCTATTTCTATCCCTTTCTCTCCCTTTCTCTCTTTTTCTAGCACATACTCTTTTATAACGAAGGTTTACCTATATACCACCGTACGAAACCTCTCGGTCCTTTTTTGCTCTTCTTTTACCCCCACCGTTTTACCCTTCGAACCGGAGATGGGGTATCCAGCTTCAAAACCTTCGACCATTTCGCAAATGGCCACCATAAATGTTACGTTTGCATAGAAAAGAAAGTATAAACATTTCGGGAACATTTTTTTTTCGATTTAATTGACTACGAAAATTATAATGTTCTTTCAAGTGTTCGGATTAATTGGATATTCGTTTATTTATTTTTACATAATTTTTAATGACAGAACTAAATTGAACATTTTGTTTAACATGAAGAATCTAATGCAATCCTACTATAGGTATAGTCATGAATTTTTCTGTTTTTTATTTTTTTAGCAGCCACAATTGACCTCCAAATCATTTCCCGTCCTCACCCTAAACCCCCGTTTTGCGGACAAATCGTTCTTTATCATAAAGGTATACATTTTCTATTTTCTAATGTAGTTTTTTTACTTCCTAATTAATATCAAACACTCATACGAATATACTGTAATTAAAATTCATCTCTGTGAATAATTGGCTAGATTTAAATTAAAAAAAAAATCTCCCAAATTTTTTCTAAAAATGTAGTATAAAAATATCGTTGAAAATGAAATATTTCTATTCATCTAACATTGTCATTTGATTATTTTATTTGTCAACGGCTTAACCATGTTGAAAGAACTAATTCCTATTAGATCACTAAGGTTCAATAATGTTGGGTACGGTTAGTAAATGGATGGGTGACCCATTTGAAAAAAAAATTGTGTCCTGCTTGCTTCAAAAAGGCAATAAAAGCCGCAGCGGGGGTCTCTTTGGAAATGTAAGATAAATGTGAGAAGACATTCCTAGAAATGTGACTTAAACCCGTAAAAAGTAGAGTAATATAAAAGAAAGAAGTTACTTTATTACAAAAAGTGCCAGTTATCGCAAAAGCGAAAGAAATTACAATATATTTTAAATTATTATATTATAATATTA